CTTCTTGTTGCTTTTGACTCGCCGCGCAGAAGTGTGGACCTCGCCACTAAATGAGCTATGCTAAGGGTCGGCACTCTGTTCCCCAATATTGCTGTGGGCGCCGCCATTTTGGTGCTTGTACAGAGCAGACACAACTGCCGATCATCATGATTCAAAAATTCGACTTTCTCAGCATTCGATTTGGTGTTAGGAAGCTCATGTAATATTGCTTTGCTCTGTCGCGAAGTGTTTAAAGGAGCTGTGCAACGATATTCAATTGGAATGTTTTTCTCTCTACCCGAGCTTACTGGCACACCTGGGACTCAAGGATACTCACACGCAACGCCATTGGCCAAGAAACTCCTTTGTTGCGGTGTAATTTCAAGGACAAAAGCGATCATTTTCATTCAATCTCTCCTTTGCAAAATTTGATGTCGTAACTCGGGGATCGCAGTACACCCAAGTGACGATATTTGAATGCAGTTCATAGATTGGACCCGAGCATTGCGTGGGCACTCGACTTGGGCTCGTGACAATTGCTAGCTCAAGAAGCATTCGGGTTGCGACCCGCGTCCAATCGCTGCAACGACGACAACAGCCGAGCCTAAACAATGTCTGGAACTCAGCGCGTGTCCTGCGCTTTGCCAACCCCAGCGCGTGGCTATGATCAACACTGGCGGCATATAATCGGCTCCAGATCACGTGGCCGCTTGTTCTGGCTGCGAGTTGAGGAGGTGAACGCTGCTCGTTTTTCTTTAATTTTTTTCTGGGACTTCTATTGCGTGGGGTGAAAAACGAACGCGTGTTTCATAGGTCATTAACGTTAGGAATCCGTTTTAAGCGGTATTTGCGCGAAGTACAAAAATTGTTGCATAGCTCCTTTAAAGGAGCTGTGCAACGATATTCAGTTGGAATGTTTTTCACTATTCACGAGCTTACTGGCACTAGTGGGAGTCAAAGATACTCGCACGCAACTCCGCTGGCCAAGAAACTCCTTTGTTGCGGAGTAATTTCAAGGACAAAAGCGATCATTTTCATTCAATCTCTCTTTTGCAAAATTTCATGACGTAACGTGGGGATCGCAGTACACCCAAGTGACGATATTTGAATGCGGTTCATAGATTGGAGCCGAGCATTGCGTGGGCACTCGATTTGGGCTCGTGATAATTATTAGCTCGAGAAGCATTCGGGTAGTGGCCCGCGTCCAATCGCTGCAACAACGACAATAGCCGAGCCATAACAATATTTGGAACTCAGCGCGTGCCCTGTGCTTCGCCAACCCCAGCGCGTGACTATGATCAACATTGGCGGCATATAATCGGCTCCAGATCACGTGGCCGCTTGTTCTGGCTGCGAGTTGAGGGGGTGAACGCTGCTCGTTTTTCTTTAATTTTTTTCTGGGACTTCTATTGCGTGGGATGAAAAACGAACGCGTGTTTCATAGGTCATTAATCTCAGAGATTCCTTCTAAGCGGTATTTGCGCAAAGTACAAAAATTGTTGCACAGCTCCTTTAAATATTTGTGGAGGAGAAAAGCGCTTCCTATGATTTTATATACATTTTCAGATAACTGGCAACCATGACTTTAAGCCACAATATGGACGAGTGTCGTTACTCTGAAGCGTAGGTTATTGACTGGCAGAAGGGAGGATCATGGCGGAACAGCGCAGCACTGAGCTAGATTTCAGACGCCATGTTCTTCCTAGTTCTTCCCAGAAGTAGCGCGCGGCACGTGTCTTGAGCATTTCCACAAAAATGAATGGCGCCACTTTTCCCAGGATAGATGGGCTTTACAGCACGCATCCTGGGAGCGCACATTTTGTTTTTGTTTTCTAGCTTTAATTAGGCTCTAAAAAGAAACCTGTTTTTTTTAACAACGTTTGCGTGTTAAATGTGGTGGTCCAAACGGCCGCAACGCCGCACCCTGTGCTTTCGATAATTTCGAACGGGGTTGGAACTTCGAACAGCGGCGGCGTAGTCCAACTGGCGCGTGAGATCGGTCTATTGCACGGAGGCAGGAAGCAACTGGTGGTGACATTACTCCAGCAGAGTTGAAGCCAGAAGTGTGGAGGGAAACGCCCCAACAACGACCAGAACAGCCGTGGTTCTGGTCATCGTTGGGGCCGTGCTCCTCCACACTTCCGGCTTCACCTCTGCTGGCGTCGTGTCACTTCCATAAGCTTCCTACTTCCATGGTCCGTTGCGAGCTTGCCAAGTATTTTCCCCGCACTGGCACCAGCGCGTAGCTTCGATAAGCGCTGAAGACACGCGAAGCGGTGGTTCCGAATATTCGGGATATGACGTCACGCTCCGTGAAGGAGGGACTTCGGTGGTACTTGGAAAATGATTTTCTGCAGCCTCCGTGCACCCATTGAGAACTAATCTCGATGGTCGCGATCCTGGAGGCGAAATGCGGACGACATAAATGTTTTCTTCAAATACAGTACCGCTTCGGTTTTAAGTAAACAATGGCCATTCCATTTCTTTGTGCTGATTGTGAGGCGCCGCTGAGAATAGCTCGAGCTTTATTGCAGCTGTCGTTTCTCTTCAAGTTCGAGAGCAGCCAAAACCGATGGAGTCAATCAAACAGCACCAATACAACCAGTCCCGTTTTCTTTCTTGTCGCTGGCTAAACTAATCAGGCATCAAGGCAGGATCTCATTCACCGATTCGTTCAGTCGCTGATAGCAGACGTACAAAAAACAGGGGCTCCGTGACGGTTGTCGCTGCTCGACCTACGCTGAAACGGACTACAATCGTTACCAAAAAAAAAAAAAAAAGAAGCTGTTATTGCTTATTCGTTCGTAGATCAGCGAAGCTCAAATATGCCACAATGTTTCAATATCCCTACATGTACGAATATATCTTCTTTTTGGGCCAAATGTCGCGCTTGTGGTTTTCTTATTTTCTTTCTGTTCTGAATGTATAATATATTATTAATTCACAAAATGTATAATTATAGTAAATTTTAGAAATGAATTGCTTACTGCTAATACTTACTTAACCCAATTATCACATTTAAGAGAACATACACTCCATTATCGCTTTCGAAACTCTGAGCGCTGGAGCGTACCTACCTGTCGATTGAACATCGGCAAGGAAATGTTATCATTCAGGCTACCTAAACTCCTAAACATTTTTGTTCCAATATTATTTTTTCAGAGAATCTATCAATGAATGAAATACGTTCATTAGTGTACGATTTTTGTTATGGCTGATTTTATTTTCAACACTCGTTATCAGTGGTTACGTAGTGATGAAATTGTTTTTTGTTTTTTTCTGTGATCTGTGCTTGATTGATTTATGTATGTGGTGTGAATGTGTACTTCTTTTCCCTTTGATTTTGTTCATATTGTGCATTAAGTGCGCGAGTGTTAGTTTTTATGTTTTCGTAGTTATTTTAGAGAGTCGCCGCTGTCGAATGTAACGGGGGCCGAGGGCTCGTCAAGCATCGTATTATCGTGCGTTCGGGTGTCAGTAGTGCGTGAAGCACCTAAAAGAACCTAGGCTATAGCAGTCGGACTCCTGGCTACTTTTTTCATCTACAGCGTGAACCAGTGTCACCATATTAATGTAGACCGATCTCTCGCTGTCTGAACATCCAGCGTATAATCGGCCTCACTCTGCTTACCCCTACAAGAAAACCAATAATTATCAGCTTGAAGATGCTTCTGAGAGTTACGCCAGATGAGTCCAACATCGCAGTGAAAGTCATAAACTTATGAGCCAAAACTGCCGTTACGTCAGGTCACAAACCTTTGTTGTTATTTATTATTATTATTACATGCCGCTACTCAAAATAGAAACGCCACTCGGATGGAGCCCTGCACTCTCATGAAAAAAGGGTGTCCAAAGGTGTATTCTTACGCCCTTTGTCCCATATAATACACCCCCAAACTTCAATTCGACATACAGCGCCCTGCAGTCGAACAGACGGCCCGAAAATTTACGAGAGGCTTGATAGCCGTGTGGTATAACTTATTAAAATAGCTAGTGTACGTTTTACTGAACACGAAAAAAATAATCCGGGTTTTCTTGGCCCTACTGTAAAAAACGGTGTTTTCTTTCAGTGGTCTTCGATGCGTACTTTAGCTATTTAAAATGTTGTACCACACGGCTATCAAGCCGGTCGTAAAATTTCGGGCCCTCTGTTCGACTGTAGGGCACTGTACGTCGAATTGAAATTCTGGGGTGTATTATATGGGATAAAGGGTGTAAGAATGCACCTTTTGACACCCTTTTTTCTTGAGAGTGTGGGGATATAATTTCGAACGTAATCAGTTGAAATAAAACATTTTACAAGGTAATTCGGTACACAGTGGTATTTGCCTTCTCCAATCTACGGCGCATTCTTGGTTGAATTCGAACTCGCTCGATAAATATTTTAAAGAACGATTCTGCCAGCATAAGTGATATTCTTGCTATAGTTGTTTTTATACAAAACATTCACCTTTTGTGCAACCGCTCTCGGTTGTACTCGAGCATGATGACGCTTAAATTAAAAAAAAAAAAAAATACTTGCGTGGTGAAGCGGCTGAATGTCACCATGTTGAAAGGAAGCCTTAGAAAGCCAAAGAGCATGCTTTGGAGCCCCAGGGTCCCGGTGAGAGCTCGCGGTAGCAATGCCGTTCCTTATGGCAACGCTATACTAAAACTGCGTAAAGACACGTGCATACAAACGTAGCTAGAGTTGCGAGACTCTAGAAAGAAGTTGCTGTATAAAGAGCATCTATATCTATTGAAGCCTCGGGCACGTTGCCAAGTCACAAATTACATGTGTCTTACACGTCAGGTTTCCTCGTCATCGCGGGGCTTGTCGGCAACCCGGTCTCTATAACGCGAAATTGATCAAAAATAAATCGATGAACAAGAAGGTGCATCCCGGCTGAAACAGTCGTCCCCCTGACATAGAACGCGGTAGCGGATTCCGAACGCATGCTTGAGACACACGAAGCGAGGAATGAGGATACAGAAGGAAAAACATCGAGAGTGTCATATGAAAAGAAGTGTACCCGTACTACCTATGGTAGTGATGACGGTGATGCTGTAGAGCAGGGCCCCCGAGAAGGACCACTGCATGGACTCCTCGTAGACCTCCTTGCCGTCGTAGCCGTCGTTGCGCACTGCGAGCACCACCTTGTCCTCGAACTCCTTGAGTTTCGTGCCTACCTTGGCCATCCACTCGACGTCGTGCAGCACGTTCAGCTTCTCCGTCACGTTCCACATGGCGAAAAGGCACTGCCGCCGCAGCTGGGACACCTCCAGGCGCTGCTTGACCTCTTTGCCGGACTCGATGGCCTGGAAGATGAGGGCGCCCACGATGGCGTACGCCACCACCAGGAGACAGAGTCCCACCTGGGACACCAGGTGCGTCAGGAAAATGCGGGCGCACCGCCGGCACCGGGCGAACCGCGTCAGCGTTTCCGGCATTGTCTCTGGTCTGTCGCGGGGAGGGGACTTCCTGACGGAGACGCGGTACGGAGCGCGCGGGCCGCTATTTTGAACCCACGGGGAAGCTGGGCACTGCGCTCGCTGCCGTCGAAAGAGCACGTGTTACTGAGCAGAGGACTCGGGCTCCCCGGGGATTCGGACTTGGACCTCGGCCGGTGTCGGCAACAGGGCGCGCCGTTCGGTGGCGGTCGCTCGAAGCGACGGAAACGCCCGCCGTTTTTGAACGATTCTTCGGGCACTTGGCTTACATGGAGCGCACAGGTGGAGGCGCAACCGTGCGTGCGTATATATATAGTCCTGCGTCTGTATACTCTGTTGCACCCACACATCACACGAGAGACACGGCTGCAGGCCTGATGGCAGTCCCACGCCTCGAGCTTCTCCAAAGCACGTTGATTTCATGGGGTACCGGACACTTGATCGAACGCCATTTGATCGAGCGCCCTTTCATCGAATAAGTAGACATTTCATCGAACGCCGATTTATCGAACGCCGTTTCATTGAATTTTCCTTTACTGAATTTCGGAGTAATACAATATTGTTCACATAATTTACTATCGCTTTTAAAAGAGATTCGACGCCGCTTTAAATTAACCAGAAATAAAATTAGTACCCGGTCAATTTTTAGAGCGCAGCTCTTAGGCGCCCGCTTCCGGCTTGAGCGGCGTCGCCGTCGGCGTCGGCGTAACCGCGCGGTGTATTATGGGACGCGTAACGTCACTGATGACGTCATCAGGGACGTCACTGATGACGTCATCGGAATCAGCATCGTCGTCACCGATGACATCATCAGTGACGCCATTGATGACGTCATCGGCATCGTCATCGCACTGATGACGTCATCGTCACGTGACCTCTAGAAATCACGTGACCCCCGTGAGGTCACCTGACCCCAGTGACGTCACGTGACCCCCGTGAGGTCACGTGACCCTCGTGAGGCGACGGCGACGCCGCTCGGAGGGAGGAGTAGCAGACAGGATGAGGAAGTGAGGAGGAGGGAGGAGGGGTATACCTTCCCCTCAGTACCCTTCCCTCCTCCTCCTCAACAGCTGCGCTCTAATTCGGCGTTACAGGGAGTTGTAAACGGCCTTCATTTTTTTGTCCACCTAAACGTTGGCTACTGAATCATAGAAGGTAGCTATCATATCAAAACTTGAGTGGATACTTACCGCCGAATTCAGAAACCTCACTCAAACTACACTCAAACTAAAGGGCCCCTCCACTTCCTCGAGGAAGGCGCGAGGGCCGGCGCTGGCCAATCGCGACGGCGGATCCGTCCTCGCGATTGGCCAGCGCCGGCCCTCGCGTCTCCCTCGAGGAAGTGGAGGGGCCCTTCAGTTTGAGTGTAGTTTGAGTGAGGTTTCTGAATTCGGCGGTTATTCTTTACTGGCGAGGTAGGCGGCGTTTCTCGGTCACACACTTTTCCCCACTTCATTCCTCTATTTATTCACGCGTGAAAGGTACTTTCGTAAGAGGGAAACAGCTATTCTCCGCATCGCCTTTTTTATTTTGTATTTGTCGATTTATGTGTGTTTTCATTTGATCCTAGGAGAATATCTTTCTTTTTAAGAACATATATGCTTTGTTTTTATTTTTAAAGACGCGTCTCCCCTCTTCGTTAATTTATTGTAAGCGACAGAACCGTGGGCCTGTTGGATCTTCGACATGCAGTATATATACTGTATGTCGAATATCCGGCAGGTCTATGGTTCTGTCAGTTACAATAAATCAACAAAGAGGCGAGACGCGTCTTTTTTCCCCGTATCACGGGACACGGAGACAGCTCCAAGGACGGCTTCGTTTTGAAGGTCTCTCCAAGGACGAGAATATATACGCTCTTGAACGGACGTGCGTTCATCACTGCACCTGATGATCACAGCTTAAAAAAAAATGCCGTAAGTGTTCCTGTTTCTTATTGGCCATATTAAAGATCGTCATTTACTAAAAAAGCCGTTTACAACTCCCTGTAACGCCGAATTCGAGCGCAGCTCTTGAGGAGGAGGAGGGAAAGGTAAGGAAAGGAGGCTATACCCCTCCTCCTCTCCTGCTCTCCTCCCATTTAGGGGAAAATATTCCGGAAAATTTAGCGGGGAAAATTTTCCGCTAGATTTAGCGGGACATTTTTTTCGCTGTTTAGCGGGGAAATTTTTCCGCTAAATTTAGCGGGGAATATTTTCCGCTAAATTTAGCGAGGAAATGTTCTGCTAGATTTAGCGGGTAAATCTTTCCGCTAAATTTAGCGGGGAAATTTACCCATAATGCACCGTGCGGTTACGAAGACGGCGACGCCGACGCCGCTACGACGCGCTACGACTTTGTGCAGCGTTGCCCACAGATGGTGCATTCTTTTTTTGTTTTGTGAAATTTGCGAAGAGCTTACTTATCTTAGGAAAAGGTAAAGAAAGGAAAAGGCTTAGCTTCTACGGAAATGCGGCGAAGCCAAAGGTCGTCAAACAATACGGCGCCGTTTCGCACGGGAGACAAAAGATGGCGCAAGCGGTCGCGACGCCAACTGCGGCAACGAACGAGCATACGGGGCCGAAAGCCGTCGTCTTTAGCAGACGACCTTTTCGACTCAAAAGCGGCGCAAACTTTTCTGATATCAGTTGCCGATGCATTATTTGATCATCCTTACGAATAAAACATATTGAATGGACAGATTATCGATTAGAAAAATGGTTTGTTGGAATATTTTGACTGTTTTTTGGGGACACCGATGTCGTCTGCTTTGCAGTTCCTTGTTACCGCGCCTGTTTTTGTTTCTGCGACCGTCGCCGCCTGCGGAACGCACTCCGCTTTTGAGTCGAAAAGGTTGTCTGCTAAAGACGCCGGCTTTCGGCGCCGTATGCTCGTTCGTTGGCTCGTCCTGTGCGATATATTTTCCTCAGGTAAGCTCACTCTTTGCAAATTTTACAAAAAAAGAGTGAAAGCCGTTTACAACTCCCTGTAACGCGGAATTAGAGCGCAGCTCTTGAGGAGGAGGAGGGAAGGGTACTGGGGGGTGGGTCAAGTGACCTCGAGGGGGGGGGGGGGGGGGGGTCACGTGACCTGGGGGTCACGTGACGATGACGATGCCATTGACGTCATCAGTGACGATGACGATGCGGATACCGATGACGTCATCAGTGACGTCACTGCTGACGTCATCAGTGATGATGACGATGCTGATGCCGGTGACGTCATCAGTGACGATGACGTCATTGGGGGGTCACGTGACCTCGGGGGGGGCCACGTGACCTCAGGGGAGTTACGCGACCTCGGGGGGTCACGTGACCTCGGGGGGGGGGGGGGGGTCACGTGACCTCGGATGAGGGGTCACGTGCCCCCCCCCCAGTTCACGTGACCACGAAGGGGGGGGGGAGGCTCGCGCGGTGCATTATAGGACATTTCCCATAATGCACCGCGCGGTTACGCCGACAGTCACGGCTTGTGGTTTGGGCGCCGTGGGACCCGGGAAGGCAGGGAGCCAGCCTTTGGGGGGAAAGCGCTTTATTCGAGCTATAAGTGTTGCTTGAACCAGCTCCAGCCCCAGAACTCCTCGTCTCGCCGATTCTTCCTTCCGTCGTCACGTCGCCTTTCCTCGACGCGCCAATCAGCGCACACCACGGGTAACAAAAATATAACAATCACACAACCCGATAACCCGTCGACGACGGCGCTGAATCTGCTGCCTCATGCATGATGCATGCATGGCTCGCCCCCCTACCTTTTTTTTGCTTTTCCAATAAAAAGAAAATCATAATTTGTGTATCCCTTTACAATCGTAATATTTAGAACAACAAGCGAACTGCGCGCACATTCCCGTCCATTCGGCGTAAATGATCACAAGAACTGACAAACTTACTGCTTAAGACCGTCTAAAGTATCTTAACCACAAACAAAACTCCACCCCACTACAGCCTTGACAACGCATAAGCAGGGATGTTTTTTCGTCCCTTTTACATACCGTACATTCAAGTTAAATTTTTGCAACGCAAGCGCCCAACCAGTAAGCCTCGAACTATTTGGTGCTGCTGACGCCAAATACTGCAAAGGGTTATGATCGGTGCCAATTTCGACCTCCGACAGTGGTCCATTCGGCGCGCGTCCATACATTAGTTCAAATGGCGACATTTCCGTAGTTTTATTCGGGACTTCGCGGTAGGCCCAAAGTAAATAAGGAACTAGGCGAACCCATCCCCGCCCATGTTCCGCGATCACTTGTCTGAGCATCCTCTTCAGCGTGCCATTCCATCGCTCAACTAGTCCATTGCTCTCTGGGTGTTCCGGTGTGAAGAACCTCGGTGCCGACCCCAACCTACGCAACAACTCCTGTGTGAGCTCAGCCGTGAAGTTTGTGCCCTGATCGGACGAGACTGTCTCTTGCACTCCCATTCGCGCGAATATTTCAACCAGTGCGTCACACACTGCCTTCGCCGTTGGCGATCTTATACAAACCACCTCTGGCCATCTCGTACACACATCGACCAGACACAAGGCATATTTGTGCCCCCTCGACGACGCCGAATCTAACGGTTCAATGCAATCCATTACAACGGTCTGGAATGGAATATCTGGTCTTACCAGCGGGGTAATAGGCACACGGTCTCCGGTCCTAGGTCTCGCGTTCACCTGGCAGTAATGGCACTCTTTCCAGTATTTACTTATCCGCTCCTGCGTGTTCGGCCAGCAAAACGAATTCTTAATTCGCTGTTGCGTTTTCTTTCCAGCAAAATCCTCGCTAACTGGTTTGTCATGGGCTACTTCTAACACTGTCTTCCGCCTGTTTTCAGGTAAAACTAACTGCTTCACAGTTCTGACATTTATTTTTTTTTCTTTATGGAACAGCATTCCATCGATCACAATTGCATTCCATGAGTCCCTTTTTTCGCCTGTAGCCACAGTGGCTTCAGCGACTCGTCGTTCTTCTGTTCTGTTCGAAACTGAAGGCAACTTTCAGATTCTATTTCATGTACGTCACTCCGATCGTCCTCAGACTCTACAGTCCCGTTTTCTCCCTCCGACTGTGCGCTCACCACACATGCCTCTATCACAGGACCTTCTTCAAGACTGCAGCTTCACCAGGAAGATCTACCTGATCTGCCAAGGGCATTTCCTGTTC